TCATAAACTATTCATTCATTATCTTATCATAAACTATTCATTCACTATAGTGGATTCGGAAACTTTTCGATCCGATACCGACTGAAGAATTTTGAAGTTCGGTCGGAATTCCGAATGTCGTAATCTAAAAATGTGAATTCGGTCGGATTCCGACCGAACTGAAATTTCGTCCGGATGTCATCACTAATGCAGGCTTGATGAATGATTCGGTTATTGAATTGATAGGATTGTATGACTGAATTCTTGTTGTAAGTTTGATTCGGTTACTGGATTGTGATAATGCTGTTATTGAGCTGCTTTAGTTTAATCGATGAATAAATTCAGCTATAAACCGTCATCAGTTACTTCATAAAAAACCAATGCATGCAGTGATCATCATCGAATAAGTAGCAGTGATCGCTGATCAGTGCAGTATAGAGCTGTAAGCCGAAGAAAGAGTGATCAGGGATTGGTGAGTCGGGTGGTCGTTTAATGACACACAATAGCTAATCGAATATTTAATAACAATGATCGAGTGAAGTTACAATGATTGTGACATATATATTATGCTGTGTGTTCGTGTTCAGTATGGAGTTTTCTGCGAATATTCATTATTCTTTTCATTTGGTCACTGCATCTGCATTTGATTTCTTCACAAACAATTGATAACACTAAGGTAAGTCTGATTTATTAGTCTTTTAATTACTGCTATCATTATCGCGCTTTAGTCATCGTCACTGCGTTATTGTCATCTTATTGAGCAAGTCAAAGTGTATGTTTACTTGAGTGCAACCAACTTGGTCACATCAAATAATCACTTACGTTTAGTCATCGAGATATCGATGTCATTGTCACTTTTGTGCACGGAATAAAACAACAATTGCGTAAACGTTTTGAAAAAGTATTCAAACAGGAAGGGAACGAGGATCGAATCGGATGGGATCATTAAGTAAACGAAAGAATCGTTATACATTTTATTCACTCTTTTTTCAATTTAAACTGTCTTTCAAGGCTGTTGTTGGTACATATATACATGCTCGTTTCACTGTCAAATATTCATTTGAGTTAACACGGTTATTTCCATTTTTGCTTCCCCAACCATCATTGATATTTTTGCAATGTGATTATCATTATTGTTGTGGATTTGGTTTTGGCGTAAGTTGTAAAGAGGCAACTGTCTTTGAAATGAATCATGAGAATAACGCGGCAGTATATATTTTGCGATCATTATCATTTTTATCATCAATCACCGGTTCGTTTCATTTCTTAAATGAATTAGATATTGACGGAAGGAAGGAATTTAGAGAGGATGATAACACTGGATTTAGATCTTAACACCATTATATCGATGGTTTTATTTGGTTGGCATATCTCATTATAAACATGGTGCTTGCTTACAGATGATTGATTAGACTAGGTAAAAAGATGAAAAGACAGGAAATGGAGTGCTGTTAGTTTTTGTTTGGCTGTTGAGTGAGAGGTAACAATCAATGTTGAATTAATTCAAATTAAAAAATCAACATTGTATTGTGACGTAATGAGAGCACATCTGTGTTATGTAATATGTTTTGAGGTGATGATTTATTGGTGAGTTGAGATAGAATGAGTAAAGGTGAGGATAAGAGCAACTCGGTAAGCGGTTTCAGCTCTTCGTCTGTGACTGATTTCATTTCTTTGTTATTCGTTTGTTCTTTTTTCTGCTCGTTGATTGTTTTCGTTCCGGGTTCTTTGCCTATAATTATCTCTACCCAGATTTGTTATTCGATTTGAACGTCATCCTCTTGCACGTCAAATACATGCCCTCATCGTATCTCAACTTTAATGGAATACAAGTTCTATCTGCTTATCTATTCTATCAATCTCTCTATCTACATCTATAATATCCAGAAATTTATATACTTATCTTTTAGAGTTGCGTCGGTGGCTACTGATGGAGGGTTGAAGGGATCCTCTTCGGTAACCACCGACTGGCAAGTACTTTGTGCCTTTATGGAGTGTCTGCCACTGCAATCTGTTCTTCCCCACCTCCATGTCCCAGCAGATGTGGTTACAGATCGGTTGTAGGCCAATTGGGCGACTGGTCGTATGGTCGACTGAAAACTGTCAACTGCCAAAAGTTTGGCTGCGAAAACTTCGACCATTTAAAGCATCTACCGACTAGAACGTGGACTAGTGAGTTCGCTGGAGGGGAGGAGGAAAGTCTCAAAATTACAATCGCTCTGAAAAAAACTCAGGAACGGGGAATTTCAGCGAGAAAGCGCAATCTCATCCCCGATTTGCGAATCCCCGAAAAAACCGCAGTCAATAAAAGCTTGAAAACGGGAAAATACACCGGAAAAGCATCGAGGTGAAATAATTTGTAGGACAGAAAAAGATTATCGCAAAGCCATATTACGGTTAATGTTTCATTGAATGACAGGAAATATAAACAATGCATGGTCTTTGGCGAGATGAAAATAAACAACATTCTGAAATGACAATAACGTAAATTTCTTCTTCACGTTGTAGAAATCATGTACCACTGAAAGTTTGGGCGAAGTTGCATACTTAAAAGAAGAGGGGAGAGTAGGGGGCGTTGATGCTTAGACTTAAGCTAAGGTTCATCTCGAGCCCACACCAAACCTCAGATAACGCTGTGACTGACGGAAATGAGGATCGATTCCCTGAAGTTCCCTGTTCCCCGTAAAACGCTAACGTGGACCATCCAAAAGGTGGACTGGTCAAAACGTCGAGTAATCAGAATTGTTCATTGAATTACTTAACTGGTAATGGACACCAAAACGCTGATGGAGTATGGAAAAGTTGATTTGTTTACCTCTGCAACTCTTAGATAAATGGAATAAATTCGGTTTCATCTTCTGACGTACAGCGCCTTCGTCAGGAACAAACAGTGGGATACGTGACATTTCAACGTCACCACTTCAATAGGTGGCACATTCATTGACTTCGGGTAAACCGAAGCGTCAACCTGGCTGAGTCTCATCCTGCACCTAAGCATATTCGCGTTGAGTGTTCGTCGGAGAACGGGTTCCCCGACGGAGAGCGCTCCCCTCCCCGCGCAATTTGCTCCTCGACTTTCTTCTTGGGGACCTCTCCCCCGTCCGTTCAGTTTTTTCCCCGACGGGGAAGACGAGCTCCCCATCCTCCCCGACGGGGAAGACGAGCTCCTCATCCTCCCCGATGGGGAAGACGAGCTCCCCATCTTCCCCGACGGGGAGGACAAGGAGCGCGTCACACCTTCGCGAATATCGCGAACAGTCAGCTGCAAACAGCGAAATACCGCTGCAATTCTTCCAATGTTGTCTTGTTCTTTGTTTTGAAATGTGAATATAAGGTGTTTGGCAAATCAGATCGAGACGGAGACACACTTGAGTTTGGTAGAGTTGACAGTTGACGAACGAACGAACTTGATTGATTGCGGTCAAGAAAAAACAACGCTAGCAAAAATTTCATGTTGAGGTATTGGATTATTGGTTGCGTGAGTTATTGTAAAAGTGATACGATATTGGAGATAATAGGATAGAATGAAACTGATAAGATAAAGATGTAAATAAAATAAAACCAATTTTGTTTTATTGATATTGATTCTTTCTTGTTTTTATTTGATTGATATGATGATACGATAATAATAGCATTGATGATATTGATGCGTTTAATTTGTTCATTTTATTGGTGTTGATTCGCGCTTAGTTTTTTTTTTCAATAAATGTGAGTTAGAACAAGTAACATTGTGAGATTTTTGAATGGTAGCAACATGTTATTTAAAGCTGTAGTCGTGAGCGCAATATCATTGATAAACCATTTCATTTCACTCCCAAAGGTGCACATCGGGCGAGAAAATTCTGTTTGAAAAGCTGAAACGGAATTTTCGAAAAAAACTACTTTAGAAAAGAAGAAAGATCTTTGAAAAATTGAAATTTTGTCAAAAAATTGGGCTGAACTGCTCCCCGCCGAGAAATACGGGGAGGGGTCATTCCCCGACGGGGTCTCCCCTAGGCAATTTGCTCCTCGAGTTGATTGGCGGGGACCATTCCCTATCCAGTTTTCTCCCTGCGGAGACCCTACGCGCGATTTGCTCCCCGACTTTTTTGAAGAAGACCCCCTCGTCCAGTTTCCTCCTCGCGGGGTCCCTTCTGTCCGAAAAACTGCTTCCCGACTATTCGCATTATATTTCGAAATGCTCAATCATCTGAATGAAAACAGTATATCAATCCAAACATTGCTCTCCCGAAGGAGTATCATAAGAGTTTCACAGAATAGTGATGCCACCAGTAAAAGAAGCTTAACGAAATGTCGATTGTAATAATTGGCCGACGTTTTGACGGGTCGACGTTTTTGCTGTGACCAGTCGACATTTTTGTGTCGAAATTATGACCAAGCCGCGTTAAAATTGTGGCAGTACCCATTCAGAGCTTAATTCACGCATTTCTCAGATGAAGAAACACTGACATCAAAAATAAATACCTAGCAAATGTAGCTGGAACGAATTTGAGCGGGGTAATTCAAAGGCAATGGAGTAGCCAATATTGTTTTCAGGAGAGAAAAATAGTCTGCTCTAAAAAACAACTGAATTTTGAGGTGCATTTTTCTACGTCGATTTTTCTTCCTTCTAATTCCATGCTTCCCTTTCCCTCTTCTTGCTCCTGTCTTTGTTGTTTAACACAAAAATGAGTAACAAATCAAACTTCATTGAAACTTTTTTGCAGTATTATTTTCGAAAACTGATTTCAGCACAACAAAAATTGCCACTTCTAATTGATTTTTGTTGATTTTCCCGTTATTCTGTGTTATTTTTCCTTTCGATGCTCGCAAAGAGGGCGTTATATTTCGTTGCTTTGCGTTCAATATTCGTTTTTAGTTGAAATTATTTAGGTTGTTGTTGATTTATCGCATTCTGTCTTCTGCATTATATTTACGAATCTGATGTGTTTTTCTTGAAACAAACTCTACC